AATAATTTTTTTTCTCGATAAGACAGTTTGCTCAAATAGGTCACGAATTACAAATTCGTTTTGGACTCTCCTCTACAATATTTAAACATTGTGTAAACTTTTTACGAAGATGGAGGAATGCAAAAATATATTCCAGGAATTTTTAAGTTCCAGACGGAACAACAAAAGACAATATTAGAGCTACAGAAAATATTCCAGATACAACTACAAGAGGAAACCTTTAATAGACAGATAGAGTTTCAACGAGACATGGAACTGATGCATAAGGAGTTTAAAAACAAAATTCTGGAAATAACTGAGAAGAGGAAAGAGGAAAATTTACAAAATGTTTCTTTCCCAGAGAATACAATATGGAATTCAATTGAAATATTCACGTACAGTCCAGACGAAGAAATAACTTTTGAAGAGTATTATAAAAATATACGGACGTGTATAACGAGGACTGTGATTCGTGGTCTGAAGGAAATAAGGTTAGACTTCTTTTAAGCAAGTTAGGAACTGCTGAGCATAACAAATTGGTAAACTACATTTTACCGAAAAAAACTAGCGAGTTGACTTTTACCGAGGCGGTAAATATATTAAGTGAATTATTTAGTAAAAATACATCTTTGTTTCACAAGAGGTGGAAATGTTTGAATCTGTTGAAAGAGGATGAACAAGACTTCATAACGTATGCAGCTAATGTGAACTAGCATTGTGAAGAATTCAAACTAGCAGAATTAAGCGCTGACAATTGTAAGTGCTTAGTATTTGTTCAAGGACTAGTTTCAGAAAGAGACGCAGAATTGAGGAAATTGGTACTTTTAAAATTGGAAAACCAACAAAGTATTACGATACAGAGTTTGGTAGAAGACTAAACAAGATATGTTAGCGTAAAGAAAGACTCGGAAAAGATAGAACAGTCTGGCGTTTCGCATGTAATGAAAATACGCTACAAAAAAGAAAATCAGTCTACCAAAAAGAATTCTAAAATTGCGGATTATCAAACAAAAAGTGAAATACCAGAGAAAAATAAACAAAAACTCCCGAAACCATGTTTTTCTTGCGGTGAACCTCACTGGTATAGATATTGCAATTTTAAGAATAAAAAATGTTTCAACTGTGAAAGAGTGGGGAATAAAAGCTCGCACTGCAGGTCAAAAAATAAAGACAATAATATAAGAAAATTAAAGTCCGACGAAGTGAACGACGGAATAACTAGAAAATTTGTTACTGTCGAAATAAGTAATAAAAAAATAAAAATGCAACTCGACACTGGTTCCGACCTATCTATCATAAATTTGCATACGTGGAAGAAGTTGGGGAAATCAACTTTAATGAAGACAAAGAAAATCGCGAGGTCAGTGACGGGAGAAAAAATACAATTTATTGGAGAATTTGTTACAAACGTCACGTTAAATAAAAAAACGCGAAAAGCTAAACTATTTGTCATAAAAAATACCATGAACTTATTTGGTACGGATTGGATAACAGAATTTCAATTATGGGATTTACCAATAAATTCTTTCTGTTACAAGGTTGACAATTTAAACTGCGAAGCCCAAAAATTACGACAGAAACTTAAGGAAAATTTTCCTACTGCTTTTTCTTCAGGTTTGGGAACGTGTACCAAGATTGAGGCAAAATTACAGCCAAAACAAAACGCTCATGCGGTATTCAAAAAGAAAAGTAATGTGCTGTTTGCTTCAATTGAACAGATAGATAAAGAATTGGACAGATTAGAGAAAAACGGCGTATTTAAAAAAATTGAATAGGTAACACCGACAATATACGTGAAAAACAAGCTCCAGAAAGTAAAAATGAAGCCGACACCGAGAAAAATTGAGGAGCGAGTTACACACAACCAAGGACATGCAGTATTATTAAATGATTTAAGTCAACAAGAACGTACAGAAACTATGTCCATCTTTAAGAAGTGCAAAGCGGAAGGTTGTTTCTGGTAACATTATGGAAATAATAATAATTAAAAAAAAATAGAAAAGCGATTGGCTATATGAGGTACTTGGTGAAAGGGAAAAAACTCATGTGCAGTAAACAGATCAGACGACATTTTTCAGACGTGGTTGACAGCGGTCCCGAAAAAAAAAAAAAAAAGAAAAAAAACGCCGATGGAGGTGATTTTCAATAAGTTTGATCTAACAAATCCTGCAAATAATTTTACCTAAGGTACGCCGATCCAGAAGAAAAAAAAAGAAAGGCAACTGATCCTTTAAAAGTGGACCCAAAAACGTAGGAGATACGTTACGATGTTGCTAAAAAAAAAAAGAAAGAAAGAAAGAAAGAAAACTTTTTACTCCTATGGAGTAAAGTTTTAGGGTGGGGATGTTATACCATAATGCCTATTCTATTGTAATAGACTCTCCCACAGATAATAAGTAGTAGTAGCAGTGGCCAGTTGGGCTGAGTGGTGTTGAGTGAGTCTGTCGGACATTGAAGTATCAACCATCACAACTAGATTGCTGCGTCATTAACTCTTATTTCAAGTTCCTAACGTTTTGTACGTCGAACCTAATTTAGGACGACTTATTGAAATACAAGCCTCCAATGTGAAAACTACTCTACAACACTTAGAGAAGGCGAAAATCATCTTGAATAAGTAAGAAAATTATCCTGCAATATATATATATATATATATATATATATATATATATATATATTTGAATTTATTTTCAATCCTTCATGAACTTCCGATCTTTAACTATGATTAATTAATGATGAACATGTCATTTTCGTTTATGATCGATTTCATCACGATTCATCTGTTAAGCTTAGAGAATAATTATACATTCTTATTGCTCGAAGTAGAGTCGAATAGTGTTATAAAAACCTCGGAGAATTCCAGTAAGATATATTTAATCATTTCTAAGATACAACGGTTTAATACTTAATCTAACAAATGGACAATTTTGCTGTTACACAATTTGGACAATTTTTGCTGTTACGCCCGATATATATTAAATAACGAACAATTAAGAAAGCTGGCCTAACGATAGTGATTTTCTGAGCATAGCTTAAATGTGGCACAAGGCAGAATGTATGGGGGCGCCCAGTGACGATCGAACTCAATTCAGTTGTAAGTTGTCTAGCGAGACAAGCTTGCTAACCATTTACACCACGTCGAAATGCCCCAATGGTTATCAATATAAAGTGTAATGATTAGTAAGCTTGTTTCGCTAGACCAATTACAACTGCATAGTGAGTCACTCCTCTCTGGGAGCCCACTTATTTTTTGCCTTGTGCCAAGTTTAAGCTTTTAAAAACCACTATCGTTAGGGCCAATTGTTCTTTATTATATATATATATATATATATATATATATATATATATATATATATATATATAATGTGTATACCTCTGTGCGAGTTCGTATCAGTATATAAAAATACCTCTTCTTTTTCTCGTTTTTTGTTTCCTCAAAATATTTTGGAAAAGCAATCCCATCTCGATGTCGTCACATAAAGCTGCCCTGTTGTCTCCATACTAAACGGTTTTAGTATCTCCAGCTGTCAGAAGACAACTTTCAGAAATCTCTTGACGTCTCTATGTCTCTTTCGGCGTGGCGACGCTTACCAGGGACAACAAGAAGAGCATAGACCTGCGCTTAAGATTCAATCCTAGCGATGCAAGTCGACTGCTGAATACTTAAGGCGCAAATATCCCTTACACTGGCGCACGCATTCACAACACACCCAAAAGCCAACCAACTCCAAACCTTCTGACACACCTGACCTTCACCAGCACCCCCATCAATGTTTATCGGGTGCCATTAATGCTAAGTCCCAGGTGTGGTCAGCCCCTGCCATTACAAAACACTTTGTCCTATCGCTTGGCACATTTGAATAATTAATGCAAATATCATTTTGGAGCTGGGTCCCCTACAAAACCCCAGACAGTCGAAAGCAGGAAAGGCAGTCAGGGTCGATCAACGTCGGCTGCTGGAAAAGGTGGTATGGGAAGGAGTGTGAAGGGCCACTAATGCTAGGATCGGGAGAACAAGCCTGTTGCCCTTACTCCAGGGAGAGGATCCAGAAATATGGCGCTCATACATAACTAATGCTACATTTAGTCTCATTTTTTAGGCTTTAGGTACCTCCCCCACAACTGAATTATGACCCTTACGGAACTTCCTTTATTTATCTAAGCCATTATCCTTTCTTCATTCTTTCGTTCGTTCGTTCCTTTATATTCTCGCTTCCTTCCCCTTTTCTTTCTTCCTTTCTTCCTTCCTGACATATATATATATGTATATATATATATATATATATATATATATATATATATATATATATGTGTGTGTGTGTGTGTGTGTGTGTGTGTGTGTGTGTGTGTGTGTGTGTGTGTGCGTGAGTTTGTATGTGTGGACATAAACCTGTATATATGATGTTCTGCATAGTTTTGAATTTAACTTTGAAATCAGAAATTGATGTTTAAAACCAAGTAAAAGTCTAACTGGAGATATTGTAATGTTCAAAACCCGGTAAAGAGGCGCGTGCGCACGTACGCGCGAGCGCATACACACACACACACACGCATGCACGCACATCTGTATGATCTTCATGTATGTTTTGATGGCCGATTGAAATGTTCTCGAAATGGCTAAAAAGGATTTCTCACAGATTTCTGATGTTTGTCATTTATTCATATCTTGGGAAGTTGGTTGTTGAATTTTTTCAGCTGTAATACTATTACAGCTGAAAAATTCAAATATATATATATTACTATATATATATATTTATATATATATATATATATTATATATATATATTACTATTACAGTAATAGTATATATATATATATATATATATATATATATATATATATATATATATATATATATCGTGGAGATCAGAGAGTGTTATAAACAAAGGTTTCAGTAGAGAGCGAGGTATAAAACAGAAAACCAAATAATTCATGAATAAATTATGAAGAGAATGGAAGAAAGAATCGAAGGAAGAAAGAAAGAAAAGGGGAAGAAAAAGAAAAAAGGAGTGGAAAATAATTTATGAACGAAAAGAAAGAAAGAAAGAAAGAAAGAAAGAAAGAAAGAAAGAAAGAAAGAATATGTAGGAAGAGAAAGAAAGAAATGGAGAAAGCGGGAAAGCAAGAACGAAATAAACGGATAATAATGCATAAATGTGTACTAAGATAAAGAAAGAAAGAAAGAAAGAATGAATGAAAGAAATCAAGCAAGAAAGAAAGACAGAAATGCATAATGATATATGAATATTAACGAATATAAAGAAAGAAAGAATGATTGAATAAAAGAAGGAAAGAAAGAAAACAAAAAGAAGACAAAAGAATGAAAGAATGAATGAATGAAAGAGGCAAAGAAAGAAAGAAAGTAAGAAAAAGCGAGAAATAAAAGGATAATAATATATGAATATGTAAGAAGATAAAGAAAGAAAGAATAAGTGAAAGGAAAAATGAAGAATAAGAAAGAAAAAGATAGAAAAAGAAGGAATGAATGAAAGAAAGAAAGAAAGAAAGAAATGGATAATAATATATGAATATGTAGGAAGATAAAGAAAGAAAAATGAAAGAAAGAAAGAATGAAAAAAAAGAAAGAAAGAAAGAAATGGATAATAATATATGAATATGTAGGAAGATAAAGAAAGAAAAATGAAAGAAAGAAAGAATGAAAAAAAAGAAAGAAAGAAAGAAATGGATAATAAAATGAGGAAGATAAAGAAAGAAAATGAAAGAAAGAAAAATGAAAAAAAAAGAAAGAAAGAAAGAAATGGATAATAATATATGAATATGTAGGAAGATATAGAAAGAAAAATGAAAGAAAGAAAGAAAGAAAGAAAGAAAGAAAGAATGAAAAAAAGAAAGAAAGAAAGAAATGGATAATAATATATGAATATGTAGGAAGATAAAGAAAGAAAAATGAAAGAAAGAAAGAATGAAAAAAAAGAAAGAAAGAAAGAAATGGATAATAATATATGAATATGTAGGAAGATATAGAAAGAAAAATGAAAGAAAGAAAGAAAGAATGAAAAAAAGAAAGAAAGAAAGAAAGAAAGAATGAAAAAAAATAAAAAAGAAAGAAAGAAGTGGATAATAATATATGAATATGTAGGAAGATAAAGAAAGAAAGGATTTAATGGGAAAGTAACAAAGCGTGAGAGATAGACAGCAAAATGTTTAATTGATAGTAGTTGTAGCGGGGGGTGGGGGTGTTGCTAACAGATAAGAGGGTTAAATGATTGAGTGATTATTTTTTATGACTTTTATATGAGTGCAACATAGCCGAAGAATCCCTGGCTAGTGACGACGGTCATCAGTAATCTGCAAAGTCCCTGTGCTTCTCGGCCGCTTATATTATTGCTTGCTTGTCAAACCATTCTTTCACCCTTTCATTTATTGTGCCCAGATGGCGCCACTGATCGCCTGGTCTGAACCCTACCCTGTCGAATTTGATTCGTGTACACTAAAATGCAGACAGTAAGGCTCCTCGGACACATGTGAAAGGGAGCGAATCCAATCTGTAAACCCGAAATTAGGGAAGCCTCTTTTGTTGAATGGACATACATATCTTTTTGCCAATGAATAACTCTTTGCATTGATCTGAAAGTTAGAGATGAGGAAGTTATTTATAAGATTAGTTTAGTCTGGCATAAGGCCTTTGCCGTATGGCTTTTAATGTAGTTCCAACTCCTGACACTAGCAAATGCCTTAGTGAGACGAACTTGTTATTTTCTTCTTCTGTGCTATGTCCCCTCAGGACGCAGGCGATCACGGCTCTCCACAATTTCCTGTCCTTTTTAGCTCTTAATAAATTTTGTCTTTTTGTTATTTCTTCCAAACCCGGTTCCGTCATCCATTTAGTCAAGCTTATTAAGTATGTTATACGTGGCTTTCCTCTGTACTCTTGCCTTCAATCTGTCCTGTGAGTATCAGATTTCCCAAGCCCTCTTTCCTCATTATGTGTTCTAGAAATTTCAGCTGTCTCTTCTTGATGTTAAATAAAAGTTTTCATTTTGTTTCCATTTTCTCTAGAACTTCGTCGTTGCTCACATATTCGGTTCATGGTATCTCCTCATCCTCTTCATTTCTCTTGTTTCAAGTCTCTTCTTCTTCTTTGAAGAGGTTATCCAGAATTCACTGCCATATAGGAGGACAGATATCACATAACAGTTCAGTACTCATTTCTTTGTTTCTCTTGTTTCAAGTCTCTTCTTCTTTAAGGAGATTATCTAGCATTCACTGGCATATAGGTGGACAGCAGTTCAGTACGCTTTTCTGACAAAGTACGTTTCTGACAAAGTTTTCCTGTTCCTTAATACTCTGCTTAGATTTTTGAATGCCTCTTTGGTTATCTCAATGCGCCTTCAGATTTCAGTATCGCACTTTCCGTCCTCTGTTAAAATATTTCCCAGATATTTAATTTTTTTTTATTTGTTTGAGATACATCAGACCATATATGGCAGTGATATTCAAGATTTTATTTGTAGATTTCTATGTGTGCAGGATGGATTCGGACGAGAAAGATTGCCTGGCACGACACAGTGAACCAACTTTCCTAGCAGTAGATCTAGCAATTGATTCAATAAAATCACCCCACTTCATGTCAGTTGAACATGTGAGCCTAAGAATGCTTACTGGAATATTAAGAGAGGGAATTATATTTTAGAAAATATATTAGATTAATCTCTCATAGGTTTTTTTCTTTATCGTTTCATCTCAATCAAGGTAATATAATGCCACTAGGACGCAAGGGTTTTTACATGGAGTGAAAGAGAATGAGAAGTCTTGTGAGGAGAAATGAGGAGAAAGGACAATAAAGGAACAGGTTTCCAAAAGTGAGAAGGTGGCGATTGATATTATAATTTTGAAAATTTGGCGGTGGGGGGAAAGCGAGGTATTGAAAGAAAGTTCCACAGTCGAGAAAAGAAACTATTAGAATAGAATTGAATAGGTACTTCAACTAAAACCTTGAGACCTAATTGTCAATCTAGTAGAACGCTTAAATTCATGCAGTCGAGGAACTAAGTAGAAAAGCTCATCAGAAGAATTGCCATGAAAATATTTATAGAAAAGACAGAGGGAAGCCACGTCCCGGCGGTGAGAAAGTGAATGAAGCCGAGATGCCAGGTCTGGATCAATAACATTACAGACCCTTCTTTGAATTTTGTCAAGAATCTTGTGATATAGAGTAGGAGCACCAGATCAATTATGGCAGCAGTATTCAATGCACGGACGAATGGTAGATTTATAAATATACAAGAATGATTCTGATAAGAAGAATTGTCTGGCACGACACAGTGAAGCAACTTTCGGAAAAAGAGTCTTAGTCAATATGATCACTCCACTTCATGTCAGTGGAAAACGTGAGCCCAAGAAAGCACAAAGACACACTCTCCTAGAGTTTAGTATCAGCTGATGGTAAGTAAGAAAGGTTCTCTATGATGATTAAATGATAGCAGTTTTGTTTTGGAGGTGTTAACATTCCTTGCCCCAGTTAACCACGTTTTTTCTAACGGATTCTTCATGTTTCATAATACTTCTTGGAGCTCTTGGAAGGGATCTTTTGTAATTCCAGTGCGCCTTCAGATTTCTGTGTCAGTTTCCATGGCCTGTTATAACACCTCTCAGATAATCAAATTTCTATATGTCCTTGATTTTCTTGTTTCATATTTATAGCTCGCATCTCGAGCGCTTCCTCTTGCTACTCAACATACTTTCTGTCTTCTTGCAATTAATCGTTGATGCTTCTCTTTACTATCTTGTCTACGAGTTATGTATGGATGGGTGGCATGCTTCTAAAATCTGTTATTCAGAAAACGGATTAAGACACAAGTTGAGAAGCCGTCCATTGCTGAGGATTTGCTTTTAAGATACGGCGCATATAAATACCCTCTTCTATTTGCTTATCTATATCGCTAGCTAGCTAGATAATATTCTATATTTAGGTATGACTCGTTTATTTAATCATGTTCTTTGAAACAGAACGTAATGTCAGTCAAACCTTTCGTCAAGTTTCTCATGTAATCGAATAAGATCTTTGGTAGAAACTTGCCGAAATTATGTGTCATACCCCTAGTACTTTCGACCGTCGGTAGTAGTTTTTAAGGAAAGAATGTAGAAAGTTAGGAGATAGCCATTGTATAGTTTATTTTAATGCTCTAAATTTTGAAATGAACGTAGATTCATGTACATTGACTATGGGCGGATTTTAGCGTCATGTGGCAAAAATAACTTTAGAGTACAAAATCATTATAGCATGTATGCGTTTAGATTAAAAACAATTTTACTGAATGAGGGCTTTGATGAAAGGAGCTTCCAGGATTTGTAATCGTTTAGTTTTTTGTTCTTTTGACAGCTGGAGTTGTAGAGCATGCTTCTATTATCGAACAAAATTTGCTGCTGTACAATATATGTTAGTAAGCTATTTTAGATAGTTCGATGCTAAGTGGGTATAGTGTACTTGGAGGACTTGTATATAACTAAGCTAAGCACTGTGAATATCAATAATATTTAAGCTATTAAGTTGACGCAAAATATTAATTTCCTAGCATTTTAGTTATTTTGTGTATTCGATTATAAAAGTACGTTTAGGATAGTTTTCCTTCATTTAGCATAGTTTTCCCATCAAAATCTTTTTTCTTCACCATTTCTTTCTTTCTTTCTTATTTATGAATTATTTAGTTCTATACCTTGCTATAAATAGAACATTTTTCATCCATTCCATTCCATTACAGATATACCGTGTGAGGAAGAAGTTCACATATCCCTAGTTACATTTAATCACCGCCGAACGGATCCCGAACAACCCCCAGTCACGAGAAATGGATGTCTCCTCGAGGAGGCAACGTGCCTTGAGAGAATATTGAACCTCAAACTCAAACTCGACATCAAGTGCCCAGTTCTCACTTTTCAGTTTTGATAGAGTTCAAGAGCGTCTCCGAGAAGAATTATTTTCCACCCTCCAAACTCTCTCTCTCTCTCTCTCTCTCTCTCTCTCTCTCTCTGTGTCACAGGTGGGATGTGGTGAGCCTCTCGCTGCTCTATCGCTATTTCCATGGAACGTTCCTTAGCTTCGTCAGGTCTAAACTTCACGGCTAGGACCCGCCATGTCACTTATATAGTAGCAAACCATCCACATCCACCCTCCCTATTCCACTCGAACAGCTTCCTCCCGCGAACCACTGCCCTGTGGAACAGAACTCCCAAGAGGATGTTTCCCCGATCACTACAATCTTAACCTGTTCAAGTCTAGAGTTAACCATTATATTCCTCTCCTATCCATACAAAACTACCCCTTAACATAACGCTTTACACGTGTGGCCCCAGGGCCTTGTTCAGAGTGAACCTTACTGTAAAAAAAAAACAAAAATTCAGATTCATAATCGGTTGCTGGTGACAGATTTATGTCAAGAAGACGAGTGTTATCATGCAACAAAATCGTCAGTCGAGATTTTTTTAGCTAAAAAAATGTCTTTTCTCGAATTGCGTCTAAAAACAACTAATTCATCTGTATTTTCTTGTCTGAAAGTTTATATGATTTTTGTGGGTGAAGCGGTTTGCTTTAAAATTTTCATTTCATCAGATTTCAAGTCCTGACATCTTTCACATTGTTCTTTGCGCTTAAATACAGCACTTCCTTTATATCAACTACATTATTCCAGCCACCAGTCTGTACCCACTCCATTATTCTCACCACCAGATTGCACCTACTTCATTATTCCCGCCACCAGATTGCACCCTAGCCTATTATTAACATTATTCCGCCACCAGATTGTACCCTTACTCCATTATTCCCGCCACCGGCTTGTACCTACACCATTATTCCCGCCCAGATTGTACCTGCTCCATTATTCACGCCACCAGATTGAATTATTCCTGCCACCAGATTTTACTCCATTATTTGCCAATACCTACACCATTATTCTCACCACCAGTCTGTACCCACTCCATTAAAAGTCTGTACCCCTCCATTATTCTCACCACCAGATTGCAAACTTCATTATTCCCGCCACCAGATTGATTCTACTATTCCCGCCACCAGATTACCTATTCATTATTCCTCCGCCACCAGATTGTATCCATTCCATTATTTGCCATTTTGTACCTACACCATTATTACCAGATTGTACCCTCACCATTATTCACGCCACCAGATTGCACCTAGTACTCCATTATTCCCGCCATACGCCATTATTACCTAAATTCCATTGTACCTAGGGACCCGCCACCAGATTTCACTTATTATAGTGCCAAACCATCCATTATTCCCGCCACCATCCACCTTGCCACCAGATTGTACCACTTCCATTAAAATCCATTATTCCCGCCACCAGAAATTCCCGCCACCAGATTGTCCATTATTCCCATTATTCACGCCACCAGATTGCACCTACTTCATTATTCCCGCCACCAGATTGACCTTCATTATTCCCGCCACCGGGATACACCATTATTCCCGCCACCAGATTGTACCTACCCATTATTCCCGCCACCGGTTTGTACCTACTCCATTATTCCTGCCACCAGATTGTACCTACTTAATTCCCGCCACCAGATTGTTACACCATTATTCCCGCCACCAGATTTACCACTCCATTATTCACGCCACCAGAACCTGTTCATTATTCCCGCCACCAGATTGTTAATTCCCGCCCAACACCATTATTCCCGCCACCAGATTGTACCTACTCCATTATTCCATCCAGACAAAACATTATTCCCGCCACCAGATTATTCCATTAGCCACCGGCTTGTACCTACACCATTATTTCACCACCAGTCTGTACCCACTCCATTATTCTCACCACCAGTCTGTACCCACTCCATTATTCTCACCACCAGATTGCACCTACTTCATTATTCCCGCCACCAGATTGCACCTACTTCATTATTCCCGCCACCAGATTGCACCTACTTCATTATTCCCGCCACCAGATTGCCACCATTAGAAATTATTCCCGCCACCATTATTCCATTATTCACGCCACCAGATTTGCTTCATTAATCCATTATTCTACACCATTATTGCCACCAGTACCTACTCCATTATTCCTGCCACCAGATTGTATCCATTATTCCCGCCACCAGATTGTACCTACTCCATTATTCCCGCCACCAGATTGTACCTACTCCATTATTCCCGCCACCGGCTTGTACCTACACCATTATTCCCGCCACCAGATTGTACCTACTCCATTATTCACGCCACCAGATTGGCCTACTCCATTATTCCCGCCATTACCTTCCATTATTCACGCCACCAGATTTCCATTATTCCCGCCACCGGTATATGCCTTCCATTATTCCTATACCACCATTATTCCCGCCACCAGATTGTACCTACTCCATTATTCCCGCCACCGGCTTGTACCTACTCCATTATTCCCGCCACCAGATTGTACCTACTTCATTATTCCCGCCACCAGATTGTACCTACTCCATTATTCCCGCCACCAGATTGTACCTACTCCATTATTCACGCCACCAGACACAATTCAATTTGCTCCATTATTTATTTTCCCGCCACCGGCTTGTACCTACTCCATTATTCACGCCACCAGATTGTTTCATTATTCCGCCACCAGATTTCCCGCCACCAGATTGTTTCTCCATTATTCCCGCCACCGGCCACCCGCCACCAGATTGTACCTACACCATTATTCCCCAGCACCTAATCCATTATTCCGCCACCAGCTTTTTATCATTATTCCGCCACCAGATTGTAATTTGCAACCATTATTCCCGCCACCAGATTGTACCTGCTCCATTATTCCCGCCACCGGCTTTACCTACTCCATTATTATTGCCTCCATTATTCCGCCACCAGATTGTACCCTACTCCATTATTCCCGCCACCAGATTGTACCTACTCCATTATTCCCGCCACCTACCTACACCCCAGATTGTTTCCATTATTACTCCATTATTCCCGCCACCAAAAATTATTCCCGCCACCAGAAACTCCATTATTCCCGCCACCGGCTTGTACCTACTCCATTATTCACGCCACCAGATTGCACCTACTTCATTATTCCCGCCACCAGATTGTACCTACTCCATTATTCCCGCCACCGGCTTGTACCTACACCATTATTCCCGCCACCAGATTGTACCTACTCCATTATTCCCGCCATAACTCCATTAGCGCCACCAGATTACCCTAAAATTATTCCCGCCACCAGATCCATTTTCCGCCACCCGTACCCACACCATTATTCCCGCCACCAGATTTATTCTGCCACCGGCTTGTACCTCATTATTCCCGCCACCAGATTGATCCCATTATTCCGCCACCAGATTGATTCCCGCCACCGGCATGTACCCTAACCATTTTCCCGCCACCAGATTGACTCCATTATTCCCGCCACCGGTTTAACTCCCATTATTCACGCCACCAGATTGCACCTACTTCATTATTCCTGCCACCAGATTGTACCCTCCATTATTCCGCCACCGGTTTGTACCACACCATTATTCCCGCCACCAATTGTACCCTATTCCATTAACTACCATTATTATTCAACTCCATTACCAGATTGTACCTACTCCATTATTCCCGCCACCAGCTTGTACCTTCCATTATTCCCGCCACCGGCTTGTACCTACTCCATTATTCCCGCCACTTGTACCACCATTATTCACGCCACTTCATTATTCCCGCCACCAGATTGTACCTGCTCCATTATTGCTTGTACCTACACCATTATTCCCGCCACCAGATTGTACCTGCTCCATTATTCCCGCCAACCTACTCCATTATTCCCGCCACCAGATTGTACCTACACCATTATTGTCCAATTCCGCCACCGGCTTGTGCCTACTCCATTATTCCGCCACCGGTTTGTGCCTACTTCATTATTCCCGCCACCAGATTGTACCTTTTACTCCATTATTCCCGCCACCGGCTTGTACCTACTCATTATCATACCTACACCTTCCCGCCACCAGATTGAATTAGAATTTGTACCTACTCCATTATTCCCGCCACCGGCTTGTAAAATTATTCCCGCCACCAGATTGTACGACTCCATTATTCCCGCCACCGGCTTGTACCTACTCCATTATTCCTGCTTCATTATTCCAGATTGTACCTACTCCATTATTCCCGCCATTGTTCCATTATTCCCGCCACCAGCCACCGGCACCTACACCATTATTCCCGCCACCAGATTGTACTCCATTATTCCCGCCACCCATTCCATTATTCCCGCCACCAGATTGTAAACTTCATTAAACTCCATTAGCCATTGTACCTACTCCAACCAGATCGCACCATTTATCTACTCCATTATTGCCGCCACCAGCTTGTACCTCCATTGTTACCATAAACTTCAAAAGTCAGTTATCTCGCTTCTACTGCCCTTTTTCATTGATTAAAAAAGAAAACTAAACAATTTCGTATTTTTCTTTTTACATTCAGCTTTACTTTTATAAAAAGAAGTTAAAATTATGATATTTCCGCAAATAATTCTTAAAGATTATTCCCGCAGTAATCAATGAGGATAAACATTAAAAATATTAATAAAATTTTATTGACATTGTTTAACGAAGGTGTTGGTAAATTTTGCATCAACTTTATTGAAAATCCCAGAAATTATCAACAAGTTTTTGCTTAGATAGTTGCCTTTCTGTGTGAAAAACAACAAGAATACCTTTTGCATCTTCTGACGTAATTCTGACGTCAATGTTGACTTAAATTCTGTTTTCTTTACCTTTTTTTCTTCAGAGAAAGAATGAAATAGAGAAAAACGGTGAAATCAACGAGTGTCCACGCAAAAAAACAGGAAGAAATGTTTATCTAAATTGTACTGGTACAGATAAATGCAAACAGACATACGATACTGAGATTAGTATTACCGTCAGCCACGCGCGTACACACACAAAAAAACACACACACACACACACACACACACAAACACACACACACACATATATATATATATATATATATATATATATATATATATATATATATATATATATATATATATGAATCGTTCATACAAAAAGTAGATTAGTAAAGTTAATGTTATAAATTGGCGAAAACTATCCGCAAACAAAATTTTAAAGTTGCATTAACCTACGAATCACTCGATGAATGTTATGATCCTTGTTTTAATAATACAAGCTGTATAAGGTCATTTTTTTATAATCTGCTAGTACTTTCAACTGTACATACAGTCATCCTCGGGCATGAAAATTATTTTGTTTTTAGTAAATCCAGGTAGAATCGGAGACGAAAGATTAAATGCGAATTGAAATATGTTTTTTTTTTTTAGAAATGTGTTATTGTTAACGGATAAAAACTTTTGGAGCGTGCAGTCGCAACGCTAAGGTTGAATTTTTTTTTTAATTTAAGAGATTGCGTTTTTTTACTAATATGGCTATTTGGGAATTTTTTTTGTTGTAGAAGTTTATCAGCAAATGTGGCATGAACTAAATTGTTCAATAAATAGAGTAATGTCTCAGCTGTTTTTCTGAAAATATATTTGTTTGAAAATGAAAATGAGCGACTTTTTAAAAAGCCGTTAATATTTATGATGTATTTTTTATTTATAATTCTTAAATTATTGCATACTGAAAATGCGAATAGAATTTACCTTTAATTGGATATGAAAAGTTTTTGAAAAAATATATTAATAACTTTCGACATGAAGTAAGAATTATAAAGAAAATTACAGAATATATATATATATATATATATATATATATATATATATATATATATATATATATAGTAAATCCGTTGGTATATAATCCAAGTGCATGCTAGTAATATAAAATATTAAAACTCATCCACAAGAGCTCTGTGTATCTATTATTAAAAAGCAAAAAATAAATTAGTCAATCAACTTGATGCTTTTCATAAACGCTGTTTTCGTTCAATATGCGGTTATACATGGCAGGACAAAATCTCTAACCTTGATCTTTTCATCAAATGTTGAGTCGGTGGTATCGAATCCTTTCTGATGCAATCACAGTTCAGATGGGCTGGTCATGTCATCAGAATGAGCGATGATCGGATGCCGAAAATCCTCATGTATAGCCAACTTTATTCATGGTAAGCGTAACGTAGGCCTTCTTTGGTACGCTTCAAGGATAAACTTAAATACAATTTAATTGCAGCAAACATACCTATAGAGGAGTTCGAAATTGCTGTTGAAAACCGAGCAAACTAGAGAAACATCTGCTACCGAGGTATAACTAACTTTGAAAAGAATCGTCTCAACCATCTGAGAGATTTAAGGATTAGCTCTAAATCTCGAGTTAATACATCAGCCCAGATGACGGTCAGGCCTTCAGTATGTACTTCATGTGGATTTGTTTGCAAATCCTGTGCAGGATTGTTTTCTTATACGAAACATAATCATAAAAACTGAACTGAAAGACACTCATCAATCGAAAATGACGGGAGAGTTCATCATATATATATATATATATATATATATATATATATATATATATATATATATATATATATATATGTGTGTGTGTGTGTGTGTGTATTTTTTTCTCCATCAAGACATTCATTTCTGTACTTCACTGCCAGCAGCAAGCAGAAAATTATTTTTCTCCTGATGATGGCCATGTTGGCCGAAACTAGTCGAGGAATCTAAATGAAATAATAATAAAAACGAAGGAATATTAATATACAACCCAGTGTGTCTGAAGATTTTAATTTTTAAATATTTTTTATTGTTCAATATATATATATATATATATATATATATATATATATATATATATATATATATATATATATTGAAACACGAATAAGCAGTGTGAGAGGGTAAGTGAGTTATACTATCCGTAAAATGTTTGCCCTTCATGTCATCAGATATTACAATTCCTATATTGATGGCAACTTTTATTCGACGCCACAAAATTCTTCGATTGTATTTTAATGTAAATTAATAAAGAAAATACAATTGGATAGACGATGTTATTAACAGGCAAATCTTGAACAGAATTTGCAGCGAAGAAATGGTTGAATTTCGCCACTTCTTAAAATATACGATGCTGAAACCTGTTTGTTTTTAATAAATAGTTATCTCATCAAGGGCGTCATGAACAGGGAATGAAGCCGACGTTTCACCGTGTAACAAACTGAAGAATGTCAATTAGTTTCAACTGAGTCACTTTTGTGGACAGAAAGAGATAGCAGAAGCCGTCGAATATTTGAATCATCAGCTTTATATTTTCTAACCATCAAGAACCATTTAGCATCATCATCATCAGCAGCAGCAGCAGTAGCAGTGGCAGTCCTATGACGGAGTATGGTCGTAGGGACGCTGTGTAGCAGTGTACCTCTTTTTATATATCTAGGTTGAAAGCCGGAGAGCTGTCCATTCATGTGTAGTGTGTCATGGGTAAGTAAAGTTGGCGGTGCCCATCCTTCTCCAGGTCAAATGACAGCCAGTGTCCTTCAACGTGGCCGCTGATTCCATCAGGGAAACCCCTTCGTGCTGGATGTTGAATTCGTTTAGGAAGGACTACGCCCAGCTGTGCACTGTCATAATCTCACTGGTTAGGCTGCCAGCAGACGATCGAAACGCCATTTGATTATCATCTCTCGGTCGAAATATTTAGAGCGAAAGCAAAAAAACCTGCTCGAATATAAAGGTCACTAAAATAAAAGACTTAAGTGGATTGAAATATTTTCCCATTTCGGATTCTATCGTCGATATTCCATCCAATAAAAAGTGTAAAATATACTGCATGGCTATTTTTTACCCTCTTTCTTCCTCTTTATTACCATAACTATTCAGCTTTTGATTGTGCCATCAAAGTCATATAAAAAGCTGAAATTAATTTCAATATATCAGAATTATCTTTCTTTTTTTTATCTTTTGCGATCAACGATAATCCTTACGCAGCATCTTCCCTCCAGATTATATTTTGCGCGGTTATAAATCTACAATTCCTAGATGATGCACTGAATATTGTTGTCATATCAGGTCGCTAGTCTCTATACTATCCACTATATTATTTCTCTATACTAATCATTATACAAATTACTATTCGGCGATTACTATTTGAACAAGTATTATTAGTGCGAGTAGTATTTGAAGGCGTTACTACTACCAGTTCCTGCTTTACAAAGTCTCGCCTACAACGAGAATCCCGGAAGTGATAACGAGAATTCATTGAGCTAACGAATATTGCAACGATTGAGCGTCTAACATCACAAAAACAAGCAATACTGTTTTGTTTGGGAGGCTAATTATGGCTATTTTTTTTCTCAAAGAAGAGTTTATAGTTGTTGGATTGATTGTTGTAGGATATGTTCTTTTCCTTATTTTCCATGATATTTTGGGTGAGTTTTGTTTTTTTATAATCTTTCAGCTATATATATATATACATTAGTAAAAACTAAAATGAATCCTCTTCTTCTCCCTCCCTCCGCTATGGGTAAATAGAAGGACACACCGGGTTCTTGGATGGCAACTGGTCTACCGCATAAAAAAATGGCAAGCTACTTCGGGAATAAATCGTCAGCCATGTATCGAAAGTCATGTATCGAAAGATACATGATCGTCTAAGCGTGTATCACGCATGGAACAGAACTGATTGAATTGACGGGTAGGATTCTGATTTTTGTGTTATTTTGTTACAAGTGCTGTTCGTGGTTTCTAGTTTTTTTGGCTTTGTGGATTTTGTTGAGCTCGTTTTCTAGCGTTGAGGACGGCCAGTAAAGAAGTCAAAATGTTTTCTTAATATGTTTCTCTTCTTCATTTAGATATTCAGGACTACATATCCTAAGGCCTCTGAGGTAGAATCCTGTAACTAATTTTGATCTTATCTTTTCATTGTAGTGGGAATAGAAATTAATTAAATCATTTTTGTTATTGGGTTTACAATAAAGTTTAAAGTCAAATTTCTTAGTTACGCCTTTATAAGATGTCGAGAAAAAGTATATATATATTTTTTTATTTCAAATGTATGTGTGAATTCAATGGGGGGTTCAAAAGCACTATTCTATGCTTAGTTGCTTTTGATATAGAGGGCCAGAAGAATTTGTAGTTTTTATTTTCATGGTGTAGTATATTGGTATTGTCAACGAGTATTTTCATATATATATTTTATATATATATATATATATATATATATATATATATATATATATATATATTTGAGAAGGTACTTCAGTAAGATTGTAGCCTAATGAGAAAAGAAACGTTCATTTTACGCAAAAAATATTAACTTTCCAAATAATCTTATTT